TGCTCAAGTTTGCACCTGACACCAGCAGGCACGTATGCATGTTGTAGTTGATGCGGTTGAACACCCAGTTCTCTCAAATCTGAGGGCATAGGGAACACACAGGTAGTCGTAGGTACAGAGCCCCAGTCAAAGATAGCATTGACAGTTCTATGATCAGTCTCTGCTTGAGCGGACGTAAAGAAACCAGAGAAAGCAGGGGCCGCCAGCCCACTGTAGATGATGTAGTCGAGGCGGGAAATATCTTTGTACGTCATCTGCAGCGGTTTTCCATCCCGCTCCTGTTGGGTGAGGGCAGCATCTCTCCAGCCCAGGTTTCTCATCTGATCCCAAACAGCCAGATCAGGCACTGCACAGTTAATGTCTCCAATGATAATAGCCGGGGACTTGATCAGATTCGCCCTTGCAATTGCCTGTCGAAGCAGCTCCTCGTTTTTCACTTGGAAATCAGAAAAACCCTGGTGGTAACCATACACAGCAATGATGTGCACAGGTCCGGCCTCCGTGATGACGAAACAATCCGTCATCCGTGATGTATCCCAGATATGAGAAGGCCAAGGAGACAAAGCCGGCCTCGTTGGATACTTGGATAGGATCGCAGTGCCCTGGGCCTGTCCCTTCGTCACGCAGTGACGGTTGTCAGAAAAAACCCGTCTGTCTACCGCCTTGCTGAAGACAACATGTCTTTTGTTCTTGTAGACGATCTTCTGGACCTTCTGCTGAACATAGCTGGTAGCTGATGTCTCAGAACAAACAACCACATCGGCCTCAGAACCGAGCAGTCGGCCGTCGTCGGCCATAGCGTTGAGTGACTGCACGTTCAGGCCGCAGACCTGCATCGGTCCGGGGTTGCTAGCCTCACCCACCCTCGCACACTTGTACCAGGGTTGGTAGGGCAAAATGCCACTACCAAAGAAAAACACGTCCCATGAATTCATTGAATTGAAGAAATAATTCGTCTCCGCCCAACTATATCCAGCCTGCACGCCATCATTCACGCCAGGGGGAGATTGCACTGTGTCATAGCCAGAACGGTAGTTGTTGTCTGACCACTTTGCATAAAAACCATCCAGAGCAGAGTCCAGATGAATTTGGATTCTCTCCGATCATTGCTTGGGGTGTTTGCATGGCTCGTCCTTGGAAGGGGACGGTGTCCGCTTCCTGAGTGAGCCGATCTGTTGCCGAACCTCAGCCATGAGTTCGTCCTTCAAGGAAATCTGAGAGCTTTTGATGTCCGCATTGAGATCAGTCCGCTGGGTTGAGATGGCCGAGGTGATGGCGGCCATGTGCCTTTCCGGCTGGCTGGACATGTTGCCCGCCAACTCATTGATCCCAGAACGGAGCTCTTCATTGACCTTGTCCTGCTTGTTCTGCTGATTGGCCACTTGTTGCTGGAGGTTGCGGAAGTCTTCTTTGAGCATGTTGGTGGTGGCAATCTGTTCCTGGTGCAACTGGTCCATACGCTTCTGGAGTTTGTCTTCAATAGCCGCTGCCGCCGAGTCAGAATCCACATGCATCACAGGGGTCGGGACTTCTAGTCTCTTGGGTTCTGGTGGCACAGAAGAGTGGCCAGCCAAAAGCCACGTCGCCTCATGCCTGGTGAGGTTCTTGCCCTTGCCCTGTTTGCCTTTTCCATTTCCTTTGGCAACACGTTCTGAAACAAGTATGGTGCCATGTGCCGCCAGGAAGACCATGTTTGCTGGGGGGCCAGCGGCCCCCACAATCCACGTACGAGGGCGGCTCTGCCTTACAGCAATGGAGGGCCATCCAACACTGTTGAGAAAGGCTTGTATCTCAGCCTTGGAGGAGGACAATGGTAGGTTATGGAGGTCGTAGTAACGAGTGATTTGCAGATTGTATGGAGTGTCCGGCAGTGGCCTCCAAAGTGGTTGCCACCGCTGCTTCGCCTTGATGAAGTCATCGTTCTTGACCCGGATGCCATATCCTCCCTTGTTCCTGACCAATCCAGCAGCCGTTGGCTCGGAGTTGGCTTTGATGATGAGATCATCCAAAGGGCAATCAGATAGCCAAACCACCTTGTAGGCAGGACCGGAAGGCCATCTTCCGTCTTGGGGGAGAAATAGATCCCAGGAATCACTGTTTGGAGGATGAGCTCCTTGGCCTCCCTCTTGACTCTCAACATAATAAAACACGTCTGTGCACCCTTGGGATCCTGGGTCGGCTTCGCTGCATGGAAGAAACGCCGACCCCATGTTGTCACAATTTTGTCCTCCAAGTGGGCAACGTGCTTCTTGAGGAGCTTGATCGGGCCGTCAAGTAGCTCCTCCCAGCTCGTCATCTCATCCCTGACAAACTCGCATGAAAGAACAGCCGCATCAATCTCGCCAACTGTGAACTTCTTGTCCTCCCCTGCCAGGGCAATTCGTTTCTTGCCCAGGTTGATGAGTTGAGCTTTAACAAGGATTCTGGTGTCTTCTTTGCCCTTGCAGGGCACCTCCACATCAGCAATGCTGAATGTAGCACTCGTGGGGAAACTGGAACCAATGACAACAGCAGCCAACTCACGATCAGACATTGGTCCGGCATTCTGCAAAAGGAGTTCAGCCTCCCTTTCGGAAGTCATCGCCAGCCCTGTCGTTCCATGAGCAACTTTGTCCAGCATAATCGGCGGTGAGCCGTCCTCTGTGACGAAGAAACTGACATCAATTTTCCAAGCTCCCCGCTCCCTGAGCGCCGCAGCCCACGGATCCGCGGTTTGGAGGGTGTCCTCGCCCTTGTCCTTCTGGATCTCCTTGCTTTTTGGCCTGGCCTTGTTTTCGCTCTCTCTCACGAGCCGGATAGGGCAGGTAGATTTGAGAGCAGCCCAGGGGTCGAATAAGGGCCCCATAGTTTTTGCAGCCCAAGTCGTTGATTGAGTTGCTGAAGGACATTCCTAGGGAGGGTATTGTAGGCCTTGGAGAAGTCAAAGGAAACCCCGTAAAGAGGCTGGCCAGAAATCAGCGCTTGCTCCAGGCGAGTTTGAACAGAGGAAATCATATCCGAAGTGGACCTCCCTGGCACAGATCCATAAAGTGTAGCAGGTCCAATGTGATTGGCGATCTTTCTGGCCATGATTTTTCCCCATAGACGAAAAACAGACGCCAGGATAGTGATAGGACGAGTAGTTTCGACCTGGCCTACTTGGTCTGTTTTATAAAGGAGTGACATCCTCGCTCTCGTCAGCGCCTTCGGCCATTGACCATCAGTAAAGCGGTTGAGAATACGAATGAAATAAGGTCGTAGCATCTGTGGCATATTCTTGAGTTCGAAGTTGCTAAAGCCATCCATTCCACGAGCTTTCTTGACTCCCAGTTTCGGCAATGCCCATTGAAGATCGGGTTCCCCAATTTCTGTGTCCATTGTGCGAAGCTGAGGCAGGCAATGAATAGCATCCACAATCTCATCATCCATCTCGTCAGGCATGGCACCATTCCAGAACTGTGTCCAGTAATCACCAGCAGCTTTCGTAATTTGTATGGGGTTCGCTGAAGCTCTGACCTGGGACACCATGCCTGTTTGAAACTTCCCCTCGACATGCCGAAGACAAACATGCCCATTTTCAATGTGTGACACATAAGCCTTAGCCTTTCCTTGCAGCCGCAAAGATCCAACCCTAATACATTGCAAATCATCATCCAAGAGGATACATCGCTCCTGACCCTGTTGGCGGGACCTGCGGCAAGCAATCCTGTGTTCAGTCGCCACGTTGAGCGAGTCAACACAGGGCAACCCAGGCGGCTTGATAGCACTGAAGTGTTTTGAACCACCTTGCTTCCAGTCGTCTTGAAAGATCTCCTTAAGCGCCTGTCTACGATGCTTGCAACAGACCGACCTCCAATGGACTTCGTCAAGCTTAAGCTGTTGGCAAATATACTGAGCCGCCTGGGCACTGGGAGGGCTAAGGGGGAAACACTCAGCATGTTCAGACATCCACCAGGACGCGAAAGGTCCCACAAAGCCAGTGGAGTGGACAATGGCATTCCACGTAGATTTGCAATCTGCATCAGTCGCCGGGTCGGCTTCTTGTCCACTTCGTCTCTGCAGCGCAAGGCATTGGGCAGTGTAGGTCTCGAGTCGTCGAATTTGTCGGATGCGCTGCCGCAAGACTTTGTTTGTCTCATCACCCGAGGGTTGAAATTCTCCCAAACGTGCCCTAGGCGTAGGCGCTGAGTTCTGACATTGTCGAAAGGCGACCGTTTTGGCACAATTGGAACGACATTTCACATGCGGCAGTCATTGGGGTAATGGAATCCGGTCGTGCACTGGTGTCCCGGAAGGATGCCCCATTGCAGTTTTCCAGATGATTATCTTAACCTGGATGTTCACAACCAAGGCTCTCAAGGATACAGCGTCGGAAACGTATTCCTACGTTGATGACTGGATTGTTTTACCTGACTCGCCTGATCAGATGCAGTATGTGACGAAGATGATTGATGAGTTGGCGGGAAAGTGCAATCTTATTGTCAATATTCGGAAGTCGACGGTCTTTGCCACGACAATGAAAGAAGCTAGAAAACTTCAGGCTTCTATGCAGGATTCTGATCTGAACATAGGAATTGTGAAGAACTTTTCTGGATTGGGGGTGGATTTCCAAACTGCCTTGGTACCTTCTGTCAGGGCTAGGAATGACAGATGGAAACGCGCAAAGGTGGTTTTGGACAGGCTGCAATATATGCCTTGGAGTGCAGTGCAAAAAACAGCGGTGGTGGTGAGAGCTGTGCTTCCTCTTGTGTTCCATGGCTGCCAGAACTGGATGGCTGGAAAAGAATTTATGAAGGACGTGAGGGCCAAGATGAACCATTCAGTCTGGGGGAAAATGCGTTATCATCTCCATTTTCTTTCTCCCTTGATGTCTGGGTCGGTCTTTGAGCCTGCAATTTACGTGGGCAGGTGTCGATTTGCTGCATTCATGAGAGCTTTTAGCAGGGAGGAGCAACTTATCAAGGAGGTGTGGAAGCTTGCTACGCGCTCTGGTGCTTTCTACAAAAACAGGACGAGGGGTATGGTTTCCATCTTCCAGAATCAGTTGCACGGGCTTGGCTGGGCTCTGTGTGAAGATGGTATGTGCACTACTCCCCGAGGGTGGTCCTTCAGGATCTGGGACATCTCCTCGGCCCAGTTCAATGATCTCCTTATGCAATCCTGGGAAGACAACCTTTTGCAGCACTTGCACCAGAAGGAGAATTTGACGGACCTGCCATCTCTTTCTGTGATGCGCACTGTTTATCCGGAGCACTCTGATCCACTTATTCAGGCATTTATGAGAAAGGTAAGATTGGGTGGACTTTTCGCCAACAACCGTAAAGCACATTTCTTGGATGAACATGACGGTGCATGTGTCTATTGCGGGTTGAAAGATTCTTTGGAACATCGGTGCTACCACTGTCCAGGAACGGAACATGTTCGTGCAAGGGACATTTGGTATAATCTCAAGGACAAACCGAAGAGTTTTTTATTGGGAGGACTACTGCCCCGTTTGCAGTTGTATGATGATTATGCCAGGAGACTTGATGAGCTGGATTGTCAAGATATTCCGCCTCTCCCTTTTTCTGAGACTGTTCGAGAAATCTTCACTGATGGGTCTGCGAGATCCCCCAAATGCCCCTTTACGCGACTTTGTTCTTGGGCAGTTACTCTGGCCGAGACTTCAAGCGAACGCAACACTGTTTTGGCCTCAGGTACTCTGGTTGGGAAACGTCAGACGGTTTTTCGGGCTGAGTTACACGCGGTGATCATTGCTATCATGGTGGCCAATCGTGTCCGAGTTTTCTGTGACAATGCCTCGGTTGTCAGAGATGTCAATCGTATTCTGTCTTCTGGTTTTGCACATTCCTTCTGGAATGCCCACCCGGATCGGGACTTGCTATTGACGGTGGCGAAAGCTGTCTCCGGTAGGTCCCGAAATGACATCCAGGTGGTTTGGACGAAAGCTCATCGTCAACCCTCCCAAGCTGTGAATTTCTTTGACTTGTGGACGATTCATCATAATGCACGGGCTGATAAGGCTGCGGGGGCCGTACCTATTCCACAAACACTGGTTCAGCTACGTGATGAGTTGCAACATACTTTACTTCTGGATCTTGCTGAAAGACAACAGGCTGCTGAGTTTCTGCTAGTTTTTTGTTATGTGCTCTTAAATTAGGTGCTTGCCATGTCCCACTGCACGAAAGCTGGTGGCGGTTTCACGTACTCGCGTACCGGGATCCGCTATGTCAAGTGCTGAACCTAAACCCTTCGTATAATTAATAACCCTAAGGAACAATCTAGGTAATTGCTTAAGCCCCTATAACCCTAAACCCCTAAACCCCTAAACCCCTAAACCCTAAACCCCTATAAAAACGACCCCTGGCCCGGCACCTGCTTCAAGGCCTTGTAGGCAAGCGCGAGCCTCTTCTCAGCCTGGTCATGGACCTGTCGCTCCGGTTTAGGGTGTAGTGTTTAGGTTTTAGGTTTTCGGGTTTAGGGCTTAAGGGTTTATAAAGGTTTACCCTAAGGCTCAAAATAGCCAAAAAGCCTTCTATAGTATGGTCTGTGGGCCCCAAAGCCTTAAAATATGAATTCGTACAGCCTTAGGGTTAGGGTTTATGGACCTGTCGCTCTCAGTCAGGAGGAGTTTCCGGTAGGAATTGTCCGACGGGCTTTGATCATTGGCTGGCTGTTGGCGTGTGTTGTGGAATAGTTATGTGGGGTACGGTTACTAGTTACCTTGTCGAAAACAAGGCCCAAACTGCAAGTAAGAAAACCTTCAAACTTGCAGCATGACCATAACTGGCCATATGCACGACCCAACTCTTGATCAGGGGCAAGAGCCAATTTCTAACTGGGCTACATATTTCAATCGTGCTTGTGACGGCAAAGGCTACTTCAAAATACCTCCGACTTAAATTATGCAACGATTCCTTGTGTTCTTGGGCCCGAAGGCAACCTCATGTTTACATTGCTTAACATTGCCACTGCTACGATGCCAAGCCAAAGCCCAAGACCCTAACCCTCAACCCAAGCCCCAGAACCCGAACAGGGAGTATAGCCTCCCACCTTGTGCTCCAACAGGCCAGCCACAATAGCAAGCTCATGCAAGTCGAGGCCATGGGAGACACGCGTCTCCAAGAACCTTCACCACAGGCGTCGATAACTTTCCCAGGCCGAAGCCGTTTAAGTGTGGGCTTCGGGGTTTCGGGCTTTCGGTTAGCAAGTTCAGGTCGTGAGAACGCAGGGCCCAGAATAGTCAGCAAAAGACATATATAGGCCCCGCACGACGATTCAGTTATAAAAGCCAGAGGCGGGAGGCGTTGTTAAGGCTTCACCGCCGAAGATGTCACAAGAACGGGAACGACAAGGACAAGGACAGCCACCACACAGAACAGAACTAAAACGACACAGCCCATCCCTACACCCTCAAACTCAGCCCCTCGCCTTCTATACATCCCCAACACTGAAGAGCCTAAAACCTAAACCCTAAACCCTCCGACCCTAGCCCTAAATCCCAAGCGTACAACTAAATCCCGATAATTCCCCGACCCCCAAGTCGAAGTGAGAAAGTTGGTTTAGGGTTTAGGGTTACACGCTAAAACCAAGTAAAGCACATGGAATCCCAGCACCTAGCATCCTAAAACCGTGCGCCAACTTTCCGGTGTGCACTGCACCCCTAAACCCTAAACATCACTAAACACCGAACCCCTCAGGAACCTGAAACCCGTTGACATGAGAGGCTTAGTGCTTAGAACAGGGCTTTTGGTGTATATGACAGTTGGTTTATATTCGGGACTATAAGAGAATAATCTTACAATCCTTTTGGCCTCCATCTTAGACCCCACAAACCCTAAACTGACGCCAAACCATAAACCCAAAACCTAAACCCAAAGCCCTAAATCTCTTAAACTCAACTCTTTGAGGTTGGCAGCGTGTGCAGGTGCGGGGGCAGGTGGTTGCCGAAGGCGGGAAGCGGGGAGCTGCGATACCAGTCGCCGTCCTCCATTCGGAGACCTGAAAAGTCAGGATGCTACTATTTGGTGTCGAAGGTTTAGGGCTCAGGGTTTTTCAAACACTGCTAGGATGCGTACTTGGCCCTAAACCCTAAACCCTAAACCTCAAACCCCAAAACCCTCAACCCCTAATTGGGTTTAGGGTTCAGGATTTAAGGGTTCCTCTAGTTGGAGACCTCTCTGTGTCTTCACAGAGTTCAGCACCGGGTCCTTAGGGAAGGATGCTACTCGTTAGGGTTTCTTTTTCCGTATCGTATTGCATTCTATTTTCTTTTGTGATCTGATCTGATACGAAATCTTTGTACTGTGTTTTATATGGGTGGTTGTCAAAATTATGGTCCCTTTCTGGGTCCTTATTACAATACGGCACCTATTATTTAGGGTACCCCAAAATGGGACCATAATTTTGACAACTACCCATATTAAAGTGGGACTTAAGGGAAGGATTTCGGGTGTCAGGTTTAGGGCTCCAGGCGTCGAGTGTTAGAATTCAGGGTTGAGGGGTTTACGGATTGGGGCTTTAGGGTTTAGGGTTTAGGGTTGAGGGGTTTACGGATTGGGGCTTTAGGGTTTAGGGTTTAGGGATCAGGGGTTAAGGGATTAGGGCTTCGGGCTTAGGGGCTCTTAGGGTTTAAGGTTTGAAGGTTTCGGCCCCAAACCCTCAAATACCATGAACAGTTTAGGGTCTAGGGGTTTAGGGTTTAGGGTTTAGGGTTTAGGGTTTAGGGTTTAGGGTTTAGGGTTTAGGGTTTAGGTCGGCCTTCTTGTAGTCGATTACCCCCCTTCCCGGTTGAGGCCTAATGCACGGCTGGGAAGCTTAACATTGAGCCCATTGCCTCGGCTATGCGGGTTTACGGCCTCTGATTCGGTTTATGGGATTTTAGGGTTTAGGGTTTAGGGCTCTAAGGCTTTAGGGTTTTAGGGTTTGGGGTGTAGGGTTTAGGGTTTCTTAGGATTCAGGGCTTTGGGGCGAGTTGTGGGTCTTGCCTTGAAACCCCGAGTTCTTCAAGGTGTCTCTGAGCCCCTTGCCTTTCATCTGCCATCCGTGCAGCTGCACAAAAAGCCGATGAAGCGCGTATCCTGAATTCGGGGCGTCTTGGGGACTGCATTTTGACCCTAAACCCTAAATCCCTAAACCTTAAACCCTAAACCCTAGCAGAACCTCGATTTTCGGCTGAAGCTCGTCCAGTGCTGCCCCGAACAGTGAAATACGGCGCCTCCATACTTAGAAGAGGATTTTGGGACAGTTTAAAGCACAACTGCTGATGATCTAAATCCTGCATTACCTTGAGGGCCCTAAACTATGGGAATTCTGGTATATTCCCTATTACGAGTAATGCAGGATTTGTATCATCAACCGTATGATACTACGGAATCCTGTACTTCAAGGTTCATGGGTAGTTATACATAGGGGTTATAAGCAGGATGACTATAGCTATAACCCATATTCAAGGGCTTGCAACTCCACGTAAAACTACCCATGAACCTATAACCCATATTCAAGGACTTACAACTCCACGTAAAACTACCCATGAACCTCCAAGTAGAATACCTTTCAGGCCGCTAAATTACAAACCCTAAACCCTAAACCCTAAACCCGCTGAAGTACAAACACACGTTGACTCCTGGGCTTCGGTGGCTAAAGTCACACCTCGCCACGCACCCGATGGTATCTTCCGGCCCCTACAGTTACGAACCCAAATCTCGTGAGCCCCTAAACCCTAACCCCGAAACCTAAAGCATATACCCTAAGCCCAAGCCAAAATCTCGGTAAACCCCGAACCCAGAACCCTAAACCCTGAATCCTAAACCGTAAACCCTAAACCCTGAACATTAAACCCTAAACCCTGAATCCTATGCCTAAACCCGAACCCTGAACTGAAGGACCCTGACCTCTAAGCCCGGCGCTTGATTTACCAGAAAGGGCTTGGCATGACAATTTCAGAAGCTAAGGGCGGTTTAGGGTTTAGGGTTTACGGCTTTGGGTTTAGGGTTTAGGGTTTAGGGACTATAATACAGACTGCAAATAATCGTAAGGATCGGCTAAATATGCCGATTTTTTGCAACAGCCAATCCAAAGCTCGAAACCACAAATCCTACCCCGCAGGAACTCCAAAACATGAAACCTTAGCATCCTGAAACCGAAACCTAACTCTCGACCTTCACACGCAGACCCGGAACCCGAAACTCTTATCCTGCACCCCACCTTTCAAACCCGAACCACCCTTCTACGAATACTGCCTCGCAGAACCCTCCAGCTCAAAGAGTTTTCAAGTTTCTGCGCCCTAAACCCCGAACCCACGCCCCAAAACCCTAAACCCTAAACCCGAAAAAAACCCAACACCCGAAACCCTAAACCCTAAACCCTAAACCCAAAGGCCCTGAGGCCAAGGAGCGAGCCCCACCTGGTCCAACCGCACCGCGGCTGTTCTGTGGAAGGGACAGGAACGTGTGGCGAAGATGTTCCTCGCGTCGGGAGGCTTCGGTCTCAAAGGTTGAGGGTTGAGGGCTCTTGCTTGCATGAGTATTACTGTAACTATGGTCGTTATTCTTAGTAGTAGTCGTAGTAGTAGTAGTAGTAGTAGTAGTAGTAGTAGTAGCAGCAGCACCAGCAGGAGTAGTAGTAGTAGT